AAGTTGCCTTGTTCCTTACCCTCATCACCAAAATTAAAGAAACGATAAAGAGCTAAAAAATTCACCTAATTGGTCCCTCATCAAGGGCCGCTAGTCATCCACTCCCAAGTTCTCCACTGCCTTCAATTCCTCAAAACCCACAGCTGCAACAGTGTCAATTGGTTGATTAATATTCGGCCCCTTCTTAAAAGCTTAAATTCAACACGATGTGGGAAAAAGTTCACCCGCAATGGTTTCGCTGGTAAGGTTCTGGACATATGTGTGGAATGATGAGGGGCATATGTGTGGATAGCGTCGGTTTTCTAATAAGAAGAAAAAAGAAAGAAAGAATCTATTCATACCAGTGTTATCAAACCCGGCCCGGCTTCGACCTGATCGGGATACTGGGTCACTGGTCGAACCGGTCGGTCACTGGTCGGATCGGTTGACCCGGAATATCTATGTAAATGTATATAATTATGAACATATAAATTCAATTACTATGTCAATTTAAATTGGAACTTAAAATCCGCCTAAACATATTTCTCAATGACATTGAACTCATATTTTTCAAATTCAACTACATTAAAAATGACATATGTCACAATCTCTTAATATAATTATTTCACAAATTGCTTCAGTATTGGAAGCTGAAATTTGAGGTCATTGTAGAAGAGTATAATAGCAAATAAGATTACAAAAAAAAAATTAAAATGAGTTCTACATTTTTTTTGACAAAAACAATTTTGGTTTTTTTTTTTTTTAAAAAAATGGATAACCCGACCAGGTCACCGGGTTTAGTCGGATTTTGACCGAATTTGACCGGGTCGATGCATGACCAGTCCAATGCTTGACTCGAACCAGTCTGATGATCGGGTCACTGAATTCCGGGTCGACCCGGCCGGGCCGGGCCGGGCCGGGTTTTAAACATTGATTCAGACCAATTCAATAAGGCAAAGTCTCGCGGATGAGACATTACACACTCTTAGTCATTTCCCCCCAATTTATGAACCCGTAAATACCAAAACAAAATCAATTTCATGCACAAAGGTTTCATCCTTATACGAAATCAACCATATTACAGTAATTTCTCTACAAAAGAGTCAGAATTCTATTTGGACCATTCGTGCATCACCTCCTATATAAAACAAGGGGACAAAAGGATATTAGATATTTGACTTTTGAGTTGTTAGAAATCGTGGTTGAAATTAAATATGTGTATTTAAAGTTTTTGAGACTTTTTTTTTTTTTTTTTGGAGGTTACAAGGAATTGAACACAACACCCTACACTACACACACTCTTAACACACACACCCCACACCACTAGGCTAACCCTAGTGGTGCAAGTTTTTGAGACTTAAATGTAATGTTTATGGTGCAATTGGACCATTATAAACGTCATGTATTTGAATGTTTGTCGTAGATGATCCAAGAAGGTATTATTTATGAATTACAAAGTTATTTGTCATTTATTTTTATTTTATTTTTTATAACAAGTTATTTGTCATTTAGGATAGGCATGTATGTGAATACTTTTCCTTCCTTATAGTTCTTAAATTTGTATCAAAGGTTGATGCATGCTTGACCATTGGATTTCTAAACCCATTGACCTAGTGTAACATGTTGGAAATAATTCGTATAGTTTTAGAATCTTGATTCAAAAACTTGTATCAGTCTTGTGTTAAACCGCGTGTAATAACCTAACGTTTGGGAATATCCCTTTTTATTGGCCTCTAGAATTAGGAATCAATGTGGAGTCACATGAATGGCAAAAAAATAAAAATAAAAAGAACACCCTTGAAATTTAGCATTTGAAGTATTAACTTTAGTATTCGTGAACAATATGTTAGTGAGAAATGGTAACGTGAGTTGACCTTAAAAGTGACAAATAATCCTCTTAAGATATGGATAGTCATAATAATGGCGAATGAGTAACCATTTGTTTGACGAATGAAAACAAAAATGGCAAGAAAACACTTTTTCTCTTTTCTTAATTTTATTTAATCAAAAATAATCGCATAACAAATAGACAAAACATAATAACAAAAGGGTAAATAACTAATAATTATTGAAAAATCCTAAAATATAAAAAAGCCCAAATAACAAAAGGATAAATGACTAACAATTATTGAAAAACCCTAAACTATGGAAAAACCCAATCCAAGTCAGTCAGCTCAGGTGCATCATCCTCCCCCGCTAGGAAAAGATTCGTCCTCAAATCTGCTTCGTCTTCATTGATATCAACTTCCTTAGGTGGTAACTCAGGTGACAACTCTTCTAGTATAATATCACCAAATTCTCTAATTAAGATTAGGACTTGTGAATGCTATTTTTTGATATGCTTGATACGTTCATCTGCATTCGTATTAAACTGGTTGGAAACTAGAAATATTGCGAGTTCTAAGGGAGTAAATGGACAAAACCCATAAACTACTGCAAAAGCACTATTGCCTGCAATTTGGTTCAATGATCGCATCTGTGATCCGTCATAGGAAAATTCTGTTTGATGTAACAGCAAGTCTCATTGCCCCTGACAATCTCCAATTAAACTTCTACCAAAAGTTAAATCTTTAGCTCCATGGAGCATAAGGTTGTTATGCTTGTTGTCCCCAAATTTATAATACTGCTTGCAAACTAAAGACTTCTTGAATGAAGGATCATTCTGCATGATATCTTTGTGTAGAACTTCCTCTTTGTCAGAGATATTAGAATTTCTAATAACTGACTTTCCACCAAAATCACTACAAGAGATTTCTTCCACCTTTGGATTCTCATCGTCTTGCTCCCAATCATACTTGTCATAGATTGGGAACTCATCATAAACTAGAGCATCCACAATAGGATTCTCATCATCTTGCTCTTCATCAGATTCATCATAGATCGGGACCTTCAGCTCTTCTGTCAAGTCTCTGATGTCAAAGACCCTTTCAACGGTGTGTAACCCATCGATAAACTCATCTGGATGAGTGGTGCCTTCGAATTTCAGGATCTCAATCTTCACCCCAATACTAGCAAAAAAGGATTTGTCGCTAGGTTGATTTTGTCCTTGTCGCTCCTAGTTCCAGAATGGTTTTTTGCTCATTTCCTCTACATGAGATGATCTTTTAGACTCTCTTCTTTCATATGACTCGTCCAACTGTGTTAGGGAAAGCAGTTGTTCGAGCTCCAGAATTCATCTATCTTGTTCTACCATTGTAGCGGCCATTGCAGCTACAATTATGGTGTCTTGCGCGTAAATGTGTGGTCGTCCACTGTCACCGTTAAGGGTGTTTCCATGCCCTCTACCGCTACTGTCGCCTTGACCCCATTGTCCACGACCTCGACCTCGACCGCCATTGTTCTGTTTAGCAATTTATGTGACAACCAGAGCTCTGGTTACCAAATAATGTTAAAGCAGTAACCAATTGGCTAAACAGAAAGAAGAACGAACACAAGGATTGCAAGAAAATACTATTTCTCTTTTCTTAATTTTATTTAACCAAAAACAACACCATAACAATAGGGTTGTCTAACCCTTAAATAAACAAAACAGAATAACAAAAGGATAAATAACTAACAATTATTGAAAACCCCTAAAATATAAAAAAGTCCAAATAACAAAAAAGTAAATAACTAACAATTATTGAAAAACTCTAAACTATGAAAATGCTGAATCCAAATCACTCAACTCGAGTGCATCACATAACCTTAAAGAATTGAGCCAAGAGGACACCCAGTTGGCCAAATCAACGCGTCCCAACCTTTTATACCACAATGCCTCTTGGTGTTGCTGGACTCCTATTTAAATGTGCAATTGCACAAGTCATAGCTAAAAAAACTTTATGCAACCTCTTACCCCCAAGATAAACACAGCTTAACTACTTAAAATGGGTAATTAATGTGTATGTTAATGAAATCTACTAATGGCTGAAGGGGCTTGTGAAATTTTAAATTCCGAAACTTATGGCTTTCTAAGGCATGCTTATGGATGCCTTTTGCTTATGGTATGTGGGGGTGATGTGCCGTGGCACTGATAACATTTATGTATAAGCCCGATAGGGGGACGTGGATCATTACACTTGTCTCGTACAAACCATGAAAAGAAGAGGTACAAACTTCTAATTTAATTCTTTTTCGTATATTGAATAACAAGCCGCATTTGAAGAATTACAAAAAGGAGTCCATCAAAATTACAAAGTTAATCTCATCTTAAAAAAAAAAAAAAAAAAAACATTTCGAAATCCTATTTTAAGCAAGGAGTGGGAGGAACTCAAGATTAATAAAGAAATTCTTGGAGTAATTAATGCTACATTTTTTGTGCTACTTATTTATTACATAAATATGCATCTACATCCTTCAATTAACAGTCTTGCAAATCTTTCGAAAAATAAATTGAGAACGTAGAAAACATACTTGTCAAGCTTATGATAAGAAAGGACATTTTGCTTGAAAAAAAAGGTATTTTTGACAAAACCAATTTGAGTAACAGACCCAGACTTTTCATATCCTGCTTTTATTATGATAAGAAAGGACATACTGCATGCACAATGTTAGAAAAAAGAAAAGAAACTTAATTTGCTAAGTGTTAAGAAAATTTGAGTTTCCCAAAAGGGAGAGAAAGAAAAGTAACTGGGAGAGCTTAGAAACATTCAAAAGGGAAAAATGTGATTCATTGCCATCACTGGGTGAACATTTCTGGTATAGCTTTGCCAACATCTATAGCTAGCTTAGCAAAACAGGCAGAATGAAATGAACTATAAGCAAAGAGAACCAACGAGGGAATTGTTACAATTTTTTTTTTCCTTTCATTTTCTTTTTCCATCTAACGTCACAGAACAGCAGTAATGCATGAAATCAAGGCCCGCCACTTGTAGACTTTGACCTGAAAACGCATACACTGCCTGGAATCTTTTTTCTTTTTTTTTTGGGGTACATTTGATCTGAATCTTTTTAATCAACTATTTACACGCACGGCAACTTATATCCACTCAGACGTGAAGCTAGCCCTTCGCGTAGCTCACATTTATAGTACTCTCTGTTTTGTCTGGCTGAATGATATAGTTCAGAACTTGCTTATACATGTAATACAAGTACAACAAACATTAAAGATGTCCATTTCACAGCCCCAAGACAACCTGCGGAAGCTGCAAAAAACAGGGATATCAGTCTACGAGATACAATATTTCATGCACGTTTGATGAGTTACCAGATGCTCTAAGAACTTTAAACAATCATTCAGCTCATAAGAGAATTTTTCATTGTGTGGTTGCATATACAGTTAAGACTCAACGTACAATGACATCCTCAAGTTCCAAAAGCTCAAGCCATACAAAGAACAAGGGAGCGAACGATTATAATCTTATGTTGGAATGGTAAACTCAAGATAATACTTAAGTATTGGCAATCACCATTTCAAGGTCTATGCCTAGGGTATGCGTCTTCATGAACAATTTGACTAGAGGAAAGAAAAACCAAAATAAAGTGAAAACAGAAACAGTGGTAGAGTCTGTATGGTCCTAGCGAGAAACAGTGATCATAAAGATGTGAAAGAATTTTTTTTCAGGACGCCAATGGAGGGGGAATAGTTTGAGATTATACAGAATGTGAAGTTTCCTCCTTTCCAACTTCACTTTAAAGCTGAACTTCATCGAGCTAATCATTTCTAATTTTTTATAAACTGAGTAAACAAAACTCAATATCAGGATAGACGATGAATGGTATTACAAAAAGCACAAGCAATTTTTTTTTTAAAATCAAGTTGTCTCTAATTTAGAGTTAACATGTTAGCTCATGCAAATAACTATTGCTATATCATTAAGCATACTCACATGAAGATGGTGATGGGCCATGAAAAAGTGTGTTAGAATGTTCTGCAGATGGTTCATTCTTAGGAGGGGGCTCCACATGTGCAAAAGCTACATTTGGTAAAGGACTCAATGCGGAAACTGAATGAGAGACATGTGCTGGGGGTTCAACTCGTGGTTTTGGCAAGGCAGCAGGATGGTGTGGAGCAATAGTAGGGGCAACTGCAGGTGTTAGATGGACATATTTCTGAGTATTCCGTGTAGACCTCTTTCTACACCCAAATTGACAATTAGGAGGCTGAGCTTGAGAACTTCTCCCTGGAGCAGGCACACTTTTTGCAGCAGCAGGAGAACCAACCTTAGGTGGCATTGCACCTTCCCCATTTGTAGGTTCAGGTGTAGGTGAACTTGCAGGCAAAATATGGGAATTGTGGTGATGGTGGTGGTGGTGATGATGATGATGATGATGATTATGATGATGGTGGTGGTGGTGTGGATGAGGCAAAGGGGAAGGGGAAGGTGACCACACAGAGTTACTACCACGACTGCCATGAAGGGAGTGTTGCAAGATGGATGAAAGTCGAACCTGCTTAACCCTACCAAATTGAGTGTTATTCAAGCCAAGGTTCCTTGAATGAGGTCCCATGATGGTTTGCGCTAGTTGCTTTAGCCTCTCCTTTGATGGTGTAATCCCAATTGCAAGTAGGACTGACGATTGAACAATAGTGGGAGCAGCTACTGTAGAACCTTCAGAATTTGATAAGTTGACATACAAGTTCTGCATACCAACAAGGAAACCCAATCAGAATCAGCTTGATGTGACTAAGATAATCAGAAATCTTCTAAGTAACAAGAACAAGTAAATGTATATTATGTAGGGAATTCCCCAATTTAGGACATTTCAAAGTAAAGACACTAACAGACAAGCAAGATTGCTTACTTTTCATGCTATATGTTACAGGCAGAGATATAAATGGGCCAAATGCTTGAATAGTTTATACTAGATGGCCCAAGCCCATTCATTTAGACAGTAAATAAGTCAGTTGTGATTCTGTTAGGAGAATAGGACTTGTATTCTGTTGTATAGGTTAGGTATATAAGAGGGGGATAATGATTGTGAGGGGCATCCAATAAGATAGCAAGAATTGTGACTAAGAATCTTCTCAGTGTAAGGGTGCTGAACCCTTGTGAAGAGGAGAACCTCTTGTAACCATTGTTGATTGTATTCAATAAAGATTTCCAATTTTCCTTCATGTTTGCATTCTGTTTGCCTCTGTTATCAATCTTGCTTGCTGGATCAATTGGAGTGAAATATTAGAGCTGTAACAAGTGGTTCGACCTCCCAGATAAATTGAGAGGATTAGTTCTGTGGAAGCAAGAGTGGAGACTCTAGAGAAATCGATGGAAGCTTTGAGGAAAGAAACTAGCGAAACCAACAAGAAACAAGAATTCTTGGATGACATATACTTGTTAATCAAGAAAATGGCACAAACGAAGGGGATTGAGTCCTTTGATGAAGCAACCAAGAGCAAGGAAGACGGTAAGAGCACAACTTCCACTGAAGAGCCTTCATGTATGTCCAAGGTTGAGTTACCCAGTTTCGAAGGGCATGATCAATAGGGTTGGATTGCTGAGGCAGACAAATTCTTTGAGCTGCAGAGAATTTTGCCCTCAGAGAAGGTACAACTTGTGTTCGTTAGTACGGAGGGGAGCACCGTATATTGGTTTTGGTTCTTGAAGAAGGAAAAACCCAATCTAGATTGGGGAAAGTTAAGCAAGGCCTTGGTACATGCTATAGGTACATGCTATAAGGACCGGACTAGGGGGAGCATCTACGAAAGATTAGCAACTCTTTGGTGTATGAATATATTCAAGAATTTGAGATTCTTGTGGCAAAATTGATAGATGTTACTAATGAGCAGCTCTTGGAATATTTTCGGGGAGAGTTAAAGGCAAAAGACAGATATCGACAATTGTGCGAGGACCCATGACCCACAAGAAGTGATGTGTGCCATGGATTTGGCAAGAGATGTAGGAGGAGATGAAAGCACTGCGTGGGAGTGGTGGTTTCTGCCGCAAAATATTGGAGGGGCCAAATATGGGTTAGATTCGAAAGTGTTAAAGCTCAGGCGAGTTATACTTCGGGTGGGTCTACTCCAAACCCAAACTCCGAATCTACTAAATCTAATTGGATGCGACCCCACTCTATTAAACGAAAGCAAGAGTTTCCAAAGGGGACAAAACACATCACATATGGTGTCGTCTACGAACAAGGTACCAAATGGAACTCTATGCTCTACTCAATCTCGTAGAACTCGTCAGCTCACATATGATGAGTATCTCGCCAGGAAGAGGGTGTTGCTTCCACTGTGGTGTTCCCTTGAGTCCTAGTCACAATTATCAAGTTAAGAATTAACGACTCACTATACTATACGAAGGTGAAATGGAGGGAGAGGATTCAGAAGCAAGGTGAATCAAAGTCACATAACAAGAGGTTGGGAACATTGAGTTGGGGTTGGATCCTGATGGATCTCTCTTTGTATCAGTTGAAAGCATAAACTAACCCAAAACTGTGAAGCTAAAGGGAGTTTTAAGAGGAGAAGCAATAATGGTGCTAAAAGATAGTGGCGCTAGCCATAACTTCATTGGTTAGAGTGTGGTTTAGAAGCTAGATCTTCCAATATTGAAAACTCACTCATTTGGGTACACTTGGGGGACAAACAAAAGAAGCAATCGAGAGGGCGTTGTGCTCAACTCACACTTGATCTGGGCAGCCACACCATCAGAGATGATTTCTTTGTCTTTGATCTAGGAGGGGTTGATACTGTTTTGTGGATAGTTTGGTTGGAGACCCTCGAGGATAATAGGGTGAAATGGAGGACTTTGAGCATGATGTTTATTCACGAAACTCTGAATTTCTGGTTATTCCTTTTGACTCGACAAAAGCTTCGGCCATTTTCCAGTATGTTATGAATTCCATCAACAACCTTTCCTAATGAAGTTTGTCCTAGTTTTCTTTGATGACATTCAGATACGGTTAAACTCTTAAATGTATATAAGACGTAGAAATGTAGAAAGGTAGAGGCCACAGGTGCTGATTGAACAAAACTACATCAATCTAACCATCACAACCCACAAAAAAAATAAATGCATGGAAGTTTTGGGTGATTACGCAAGAGTTGGTTAAGTAGCATGCACCAAGGGGGGGAGACTCACAAGTAAGGAATTGGGAAATTGAGACCTTGGTTGGAAGAGAATGAAGCCTCTCCAATTGTTTCATGATTGTTCTTGTTTTGTAGTTACTTTTCTGAAATTTACATTTCTTGTTGATTAAAATTACTTGTATATTCCTTCATCAATATACAAAGAAATAGGTTTATTCTGACCAAAGACACTCATGTTTCTTTAATATTTCTGCTTTTGGGGTTGAGGTCTTAATCACATTCCCATCTCCGGCAAAACAAGGGCAGAGAATTTGGAACATCTAAGGTAACCACCGTAATTCAACACAAATCTTTTGCTAATAGAAAGAAATGCAATTTTGGAGAAAATTCTATTGATTACTTAGGTCATCTTATCTCTAAACATGGAATATTAGTGGATCCAAGGAAGATAGATGATGGCATGGTTATCTAACCCCAGCCCCAAACTATAAAAGGGTTCAGAGGATTTCTCAGGTTAATTGGATATTACCAGAGTTTTAACATAATTATGGAAGATAGCTAAACCGCTAACTGATTTGTTGAAGAGGGGGAATTTCCATTGGTTTCCCGAAACAAATGCAACCTCTGGAGACCTCAAATATGCCATACTGAAGCTCCAGTTTGGCGTTACCCATTTTTACCAAAGCATTTCCTATTAAGTGCGATGCCTCTGGAAAGGAGATTGGTGTGGCCCTTTCTCAAGACAAGCATTCAATTGCCTTTTTTAGCAAAGTTTTGGCAACAAAGCAGTGTATGAGAAAGAATTGACGATCATAATTTTGGCAATAGAACACTAGAGGCCCTACTTGTTTGGGTCGTTGAGTCCCTGTATTACAAATCAAACAAGTATAAGGTATCTTTTAGATCAGTGCATAACCATTCAAGATCAACAAAACTGGTCGGCCTGCCTCTGGGGGAATGAGATTGACATTGAATATAAGCAAGGGACAAGCAACAAGGTAGCTAACTCTTTATCTACATGTGGATAAAGAGCTCCAAATTTTGTCTAGACCCTACTATTAGCAAGATGTCACCAACATAGATGAGTAAGTCTGAAATATTTCTATGTTGTCCAAAGTGATTACTAACTTGAGGAAAGATCCTAATATTCACCCTTTTTATACATTGGAGGATGACAAACTTTTCTATAAGGGTAGGCTGGTATTATAGCTACCTCATCTTGGATTACACATCTGTTGCAGGAGTTACATGCATCACCAACAGGGGGCATGCTGGTGTTTTTCGCACATTAGAAGGTTAGCCCCTTCAAACTTTTGGCATGAGATGAAGGAGCCTGTGGCCTCATTTGTAGCATAATGCCCCATATGTCAGCGTAACAAATACCAAGTCAGCTCTCCAGCTAGATTACTATAGCTAGGAGTGGCAAAACAGGCTTGACTCGCCGAGTCAATTCGTTTAACCCACCCATTTTGGCGGGTTGAGTTGAAAATTTCAACCTGCCCCAACCAACCTTGTATTTAGGTGGGTTAAAATGGGTCAACCCAAGGGTCAGTTTTTTTGTTTGTTTTTTTTTTTATATAGTGTCAAGTATTTTATTTGTCATGTCAAACTTATATGATATCCAAATTTTTTATCTCGTACTTCTCTACAAAAGATAAAGAAGAAAACACTTGATTTATGACAAAGGTTATCCATATATGGAGGCATAAAAGAGTTCCTAGAGACTATTAGACTAAATAATAATATACATTGACTTAAGATTGGAAAAAATGAATGGAAATGTGAAATGGAATTAAATAACAATATAAAACTCAAAAAATAAGATTTATTTTTAAATTTGTAATTTTTTTATTTTTTAAACAGGTTGATCCACCAACCCGCCATAAAATGGGGAAAGTTGAACACTTTTAGAAGGCGGGACAACCCGCCTCGCACCTATTTTAGCAGGTTGGGACAGGTCTGCCCGCTTTGCCACCTCATTTCAATCACTTCCTATCCATAATGCAGTTTAGGAGGAACTCCGTATGGACTGTGGGACTGCCCAAATTCAAAGGGTTTGATGTCGTCTTGGTCATGGCTGATAGTCTGAGTAAGTATGCCCACTTTATTCTAATCAAACACCCGTACTTTGCCCGTAGTATATCTGAGGTTTTTGTCAAGGAAGTGGTTATGTTGCATGGTATTCCGATTTCAATTGTAATGACAAATATCCCACTTTTATCATTGGTTTTCGCCAAGAATTATTTTGCACTATCCTGAAACAGATGGGCAGACAAAAAATTCCAAACCTCACTCTTAAGACCTATTTGAGACGTTTTTGCTCGGAGCAACTTCAATCATGGGATCATTTCTGCCTTGGGCATAGAGCATCTGCACTTATGCTCAGTGTACTCCTTTTGAGATCATTTATGGCAGGCCTCCCCCTCCCTAACTCATTTCATACCTAGAGAGACTTTAATTGAGTCAGTGGCACCGGATTTGATGAGCATGAACAAGGCACTACGACAGTTCAAGTTCCACCTTGAACAAGCACAAGCACACATATCCCCCAAGGCCACACTCATAGGCAGCCCTCTTTCATTCAAGTTGGTGGCTAGGTTTATTTGAAGATCCGCCCTCAGTACTCAATTTCGTCTGGGATTCTCCCAAGCACGTTGCCCCCTACTATGACCTGTTTTTGATACTCAAGCAAATTGGGGCAGTGGCTTTCCAACTACAGCTCCCTCCTCAGGTTAAGGTGCATCCTGCTTTCATGTCTCTCAGCTTAAGAAGACCACTGATAACAATCCAGTAGAAGAACATATCCTAGAGGACTTTCAAGCGGCTGCTGACCATTACACTCCAGCCAAAATGCTTGCTGTTCACACCATCATCTAGCAGGATACCCCGTTGAAGCAGGTGTTAATTCAACCACAGAACCACCCAGCAGAACTGGGACCAATTCTCATGTTTACCCCCAATTTAGGACACTTTTCTCAGCACAAAATAAAGACACTAAGATACAAATGAGCCAAGAGCTTGGAGAGTACAGCCCAAGCCCATTCAGTTAGACAGTAAGTCAATTGTGATTCTGTTAAGAGAACAGGACTTGTATTCTGTTGTATAGCTTCGGTTTATAAGGGGTGACTACTGATTGTGAGGGGTATCGAATAAGATAGCAAGAATTGGGACTGAGAATCTTCTCAGTGTAAGGATGCTGGACCCTTGTGAAGAGGACAACCCCTTGTAACCATTCTTGATTTTAGATTTTCAATTTTCCTTTACGTTTGCATTCTATTTGTGTCTGTTTCCTATCTTGCTTGCTGGATCAATTGGGGTGAAAATTCAGAGCCTTAACACAATATATTATTATTTCTGCTTATGTAGTCCAACTTCAAACATAATTCACTTGTAACTGATAGAAATTCCACGACAGAATACACAAGAACTTGGTATTGACACATTTGACATAACATCAGAACTGAAGTTGACCATTAGAATAAAAGGTGTTAAAGAAATATACTATAAAACCATTAATATGATTTTTACCTAACAACTTAAGTTTTTAGGTTAAAATGGTTCTTTAAATGATATCAGAGTCTCTCTGACCAAGTGGACATGAGTTCGATTCTCACTGCCCCCATTCTATTAATAAATAATTAAAAAATCGTGAAATTTGTTAGCATAGGTAGGCAGATATGTGCATCGTCCACCCTTCAAGTTGAAATGGTTCTTTGCAGAAGATATACAAAATGATTACAATCAAGAACATACAACAAAAACAGTAAGAAAATAAATAATAATGACAAACCTCATAGGGTGACAAATCTAGTCCAGACTTTAGCTGACTCGTCATCTCATCAAAATTTGATTGTATTTGATAAATAGAGAAATTCAAAGTAAAGTTGAATAGTGTTTGCACTGTCTGCAGAGGAAACACATTCTGTTGTGGAATTATCGTGATCCCTCCCGTAAATTTCAGCATTTCAAAAGCGAAGGGTACCCCGAACAAGGATGGAGTGAGTAGGAGATATGATTGGCCCATAAACAGGTATTTAAATGATGCTCGTATCAAACTAATGGCAGCTGGAGACATTTCTGAATATTTATCATCTGGATCAACTGCAAACACAACTTTTGTGGTGTTTAACCCTGGTAAGGGATCTAGAGACAAGATAACCACCTGGTTTTAAAAAATAAGAATGACATCAATATATGTAATATTAATAAAGTTCATAAAAGGAAATTAGTGAGATAGGTACTTTGGAAGAAGGAACCCCTATCTCTTCAAAAATGTCATCAGAAAGCTGCCAGATGTTGTCTTCTAACAAAGAAACTGGCTTCTTGACAGAAAAGCTTGCAACAATGTCATGACCTGAAAAAGTAAAACAATGTCATTAAGTGAAAAGATTTCATAATCATGCTTATATCAGTAATAATATTACATCCCGTACCATAAAATCACATAATATATTGTAACACATAAGGTAAGTGCTTAGAAGCTTACCAATATACAATTACAAGGTTATCTTCACATATCACAAAATTGGAAGATAATGACCAACGATTAAACATAAAATGTTGCATTACAAAATATACATTGAATAGGCAACACTTATGCCTTCCATAGTCTCAGTAAATGGAAGTTGTCTCTTAAAAGTTACAATTGTATCAGACTGAGTATCAAAGTCAGCAGCATGTCAAAAGACACAGGAAAAGAATGCATCATAGGAACAAGACCAGCTCAGGAAGTGACAGAAGTGAACTCCTTCCAGTTGTCCACTTTCCAGGTAAAGATTACCATAATTGGATTTTGCAAGTAGTAAAATACAAACTGAATACCATATGTGGCTCCTAAATCCTGAATTTATCTTGACTCACAATATGTACTAATTATATTAATTTGATCAAAGGATAATTTAATACTATTATCAATGACAGTTGAAATAGTCAAGATCTAATGTAATAGTTATTGAAACAATAGGAAAATAGGAAACTTACATAAAATATGTAAGGAACCATAATCGAAATTTAAAACCCTTTGATATGAGACACTTGTAATGACCACAAAAGAGACATAACAGTACCATATCCAGGATAAAAACAAAAATATCTAATTTCTCAACCAAACAGTGCATGTACCAATACCTTTCCAGCAAATAACTTGTTCCCTTACTCTTTTCTTGGGAACAGAATTTCCAAAAGAATAAAATAAAGTAAATAGAGTCAAATAACTTGCATGCATCTCATCATATTAGTAGGAGTTACACATCAAAATTACCTATATAATAACACTATTGACACATGCGGGTTACTTATCATTGAGCCATTATTACCAGTAATTATTTTATTTAAATGGAATTCTAATACTTACATTTTTTTTTTTGGAAAACTCTAATACGTACGCTAATTCCCCTACACAGGAAGACATTAAAACACAAAGACAGACGTGAATGTCATGTATTTATGAACTGAGTAAATATTTTCCTTTAAATTTTCCAAGAATAAAACTAATTGATGTACAACAATTTATAGAGAGCCAAGAACATTTAGTAAACTTCCATGTCATTTAATGTATAGTTGTGCATGTACATTCAAGTAGACACACGCAAAAGTTGTTACACTATGGGTCCAGCTACATGTATTATGTCTTAATCTAATGTGCAATAGGAAAAAAGTAATTCAATGTTGTGTAGTTATCTCAAACTTAAAGGCAAAACCAACTTCAAACAACATTAACATCACCTATATCCCAGATTAGTTGGGGTTGACGGTCGATCAACCCATATAAAAGCAAAAACAGATTAAGGAAATATAAATAATAAATAAGAAAAATAATATAATAATAATAAAATAAAAATAAATAAATAAAAGCAAAGAAAATTTCTACCCTTCCAACCATGCTAATAGCTTTACTCCACTCTGTTCTAAGACAAATGACACACGTCAATCTATTTCCAACTTCATCAATTCTTATTTTCTTACTTTCCCCGAAATAAGTTTTAGCCAACCTCTTCCTTTCCATATGCCATGTTCTCAATAACAAAATTTCTATTTTTAGAAGAGCATCTTAGTGTCTTCAAAGAACATGCCAAAACTATCTCAATATATGTTCTCAAATCTTGTCTCCCACCGGTATTATTCATACTTTTCTTCAAATATCTTCATTTCATATCTTATCCATCCTTCTATTATCACACATCCGCTTCAATATCCTCATTTCCGCTACTCCCATTTTATGCTCATGTTTCTAGTGTTGATCATCATTCAGCTCTGTATAACATTGCAAACCTTATTGTTGTAGTCAATAATTTGAGATCTTTGAGATCATAAAGGCAGACACTAGTCTTAGGATAAAAGCACAACAGATGCATAAAGTAAAAGTGGGTTGAAATTATGCTGGCAAGTGTGGAAATGCTGAATATAATATTAACTTATAGAAAATGAAAAATGGGATTTAAAATACATCTAAGGTTTCATCTCATGCATAAGCATATGACAAAAAGGAATATTACTAAAGATTGTATATTTAGAACTACCGATATTCCACTTGCAGCAACAAAACTCCCATTTTTCTCGTTATTTTATTTTTTCTGTCCCAGCCTCCCATTAAAGATTGTATTACAGCCTAAAACCAGAAAACTGTTGTATTCATATGTACCATTAATATAATTTATATATGTACATGATTAAAATTGTAACTAGTTCTAAATGTTTAAAAAATATCAAAATGCATATCCCAAGTTTGTGAATATGCATTGTCAAATAAAGAAAAAGGTTACAGCCTCCGCAAGGTTCGGTTCAGAACATCCAATGTAGCGCCAAAAACCATTCTCGAAATGCATGTCCAAAAAGATTAAAAGCTTCAAACCTTACTGCAAATAGACACGAGGAAAGTAATTTCCTAAATAAAGAAAACATGATCTAACAAACAAATCTTTTTTTTTTTTGGACAGATAATAAAGCTTTTTTATTGGTCAATAAGAAAATTAGGAAAATTAAAAAATAACAACCCAGTTTTACCAAAATCTAAATAACTTCCCAAGCGAATTTATTGACACGATATTTTATGCATTTTATAAACCTCAAATTAAGAATTAAATAAATAACATAAAATATTAAATTTATAACCAAATCATTCACCATTTTCTACCCACATTTTTTTTTTTATTTTCTCTGAAATCAAACAAGGGTCACAAGAACAACTCGGGAAGCATATTCCTCAAATCACTTAAAAATAAATAAAAATGAACACCGGATCCATGGCCATGGAACAATGTCTAAACCTAAAATATCAAAAAGAAAGAAAATTAAATTAAAAAAAAATGGAGAACCAAAACCCACCTTTATACTTAGAATTGAAGTGCAGATCCTTCTGATCTGCATAGCGAACAAATGGGGGCAACCAGAAGATGGCAGAGAGGAACACAGCAGCTGAGAAGAGTAGAACGAGAATGCATCTCGGTCTAACGGAAAATGTACAGCAACAACACTTCGCCGCCGCATTCCGCCGCGGATCATCGGTGGCGACTCCGGAAGACAGAGTGTGTTGTTGTTGTTCTTCGGGCTTTCCCATTGGGAGCAATGCCGGCTAAGTGGGTCAGGATCCATCGTCGGTTTGGTGAAACCAGGTTGAGTTGGATGCACCCATTTAAGAGCGAGAAAGTTCTCTGATGAAATATTTTAGAGAGAGAAATAGTGTTGAGTGTGGTTTATAAATTTTGGTTGTTTGTTCATTTTATATATTTACTCAATAAAAAAAAGTGTTTATACTTTTAAATAACATAGTTTATATCATTTTACTTTCACAAAGATATAAGATCCACATCTTTATATTTTTTTGTCCACACTCTTTTCTTTTATTTATCTTTTTTCCTCACTTAAAATGACACAACTTTATCTCCTTTAAAATGATACACATTTTTCTTATAAAAGAAGGGAACGGATCCACTTATCACCAAAAAATTTTACAACTCTTACAACCAATTTAATCACCGTTGATTTCCGTCAATCTAACGGTTATAAATTAATAATATTTATTGTGTCACATTTATTAATTTCTAATAAATTATAACCGTCAGATTGACGAAAATTAACGGTGATTAAATTAGTTGTAAGAGTTGTAAACTTTGTTGGGTGATAAGTGGAGCGTTTTTGGTCTTGACTGTTTGAAACTTTGAATTGAACTTTGAAGAATGGGAAAAGAAAATAGTGAGAAAGGAGTAACTTGTACTGCTACAACAACTTTAGTCCTTGTCATGAGGACAAGACAGTGGTGGTGGTTTATCTGTTTTTTTTTTTTTATTATTTATATAAAAAATACTTTCTTTACAAAATTTGAAAGAAAGGCAAGGAAAATTGGATGATGGATTATTAGTAAATTGATTGTCATCAACACCGAAAATATTAATGAAAAGTTTTCTGTACTTTTAGAAGAGGAAAATATTTATCATTTTAAATAATATAATTTTATGCTACTTTAAATAAAATGATACTATTTTGGTATATTTTTTATTTCTTTTTCTTTCATAATATTTTTTAAAAAATTTATGGAAGAGAAAGAACGTAAAAAATTACTAAACATACATCAAAATACAATTTTTTCAATTAAAATATAAAATTATATTATTTAAAATGATAAATACTATTTATTTTTTGTAATGTTAAATTATTTTTAGTATTCTCATTATATTAAAGATTTAGTATATTATTATTCTCATTATATTAAAGATTTAGTATATTATTTTATTAGAATTAAAAATAAATATAATTAATTTTACCTATAGTTATCTAAATTTCACTTCTTTATTTTTTTTATTTAATAATGATGCTGAATTTTGAACCTAAAATCTCTACTTTTAGTAAAATAATGCATTTTCCTCGCGAACGGGTGAGAATATATTAAAATAATAAAAATAGAGGTGCTGTAACGAGTTAGAATGTATTAATTAATAAATTGGATTTTGACTCGCATAAGTTAACAAATAGTCAAGTTTGGTCTTGGTAGGTACATGTTGGATTATTCTTGATGAAAGAGATAAGATAAAATTCGTATTCTAAAAGTGTGGTTTTAATTATAAAACTTTAATTTAATTGTTAATTTGTTAAAGTTGTATTCTAAAATGAATAGAGTATCAGTTTTAACTATAATGACATTTAATCGCTCATCGCTGGTAAGTAATAAATGAGTCAGGTGACTTGACAGGAATTTACTTAGTTTACATTAAATTACTCTTGATATATCACGGATTGAACGTTTTTGAAAATGTTTATTTTTGTTTTAGTAAACACTATTTTTAGTCCCTGACAATATCTACGAAGTTCTTTTCAGTCCCTCGCAATTAAAAAAGGACCAAATTGGTCCCTGAAAGTACAAGAAAAGGGCCACTCTACATATTTGGGAGTTGACATAAGGACTAACATGGCCCTTTTCTTGTAATTTCAGGAACCAATTTAGTCTTTTTTTATTGCTAGGGACTAAAAAGGACTTCGTAGATATTGACAGGGACTAAAAAGGGTGTTTACTCTTTTTGTTTTTTTTGTATATGTCAGACCTATAAATCTACAAGTCGGCCTATATTATATTATTTATTTTAATAAAATAAATAAAATTATTATTTTAATAACTTTAAATAATAAAGTAATATTATTTTAATCATTTTTTTAATTATTAAATATTTAATAGATTTAAATAAACTAACGGATCTAAGATAAGGCTTTTGTTTTTTAATATAGGTCATCCAAACTTATAATTTGAATCTGTACAAGATTATTAGACCAGGTCAAACCTAAAATATTTTATACAAATTTAACATATTTAAATCAAAGTCTAACTTAACCTAACTCGGTCCACTTTTAGAGTTGACATGTGAGAGGATGTGAAATCATTGTTAATTTATTTTTGTACTTACAAGTTTCCAATTTTTTCGTGACGTTGTCTATCAATTATAGCCAAACACGACAATATATTAAATTATGTATTTCTTGTTAACTACAAACGAATTTGTATTTCTAGTAAAATATTAACGTATGTTGTCAATTATTTTAGCTCCACTTTTTTTTGTGTGATTATGCTATCGCTGCTTCATTTAAATACTCTTTTGGCATCAGTATATCAGTATTTTATCTCTCTTATGAATCCTGACTAGTATTGGGTTTGCTAGCCATATGGTGTAATTTATCTCTCTTATGAATCCTGTGTCTAACAAGCCTTTAGACCTCCGTATCAATGACTTTTTGGTGTTCAGAGCCAGCTTTTTTCTTTTTTTGGGCGATCGATTTTTCTTTGGGGGAGATGGACAACTTGTGACCACAAAAAGAAGGATCTAGCTGTTAGTATTTGGGTGTCCTAGAGACAATTTTATGATTAAATAAGGACATAGATGTAGACCTTTGTATTGTCGCAAATAAATAAAAGCATTCTTTATCCTGTTTCATATTTTGTCTCGATATTACTGTTAACTAGATAAATCCCTTGGAATAAAATAGATATCTCTTGAGTATCTGTGATGAGATCACGATCATGAGGATTCAAGGATATTGGATGTTTATTCCTAATTTTATGTTCCTAGTCTAGAGACCCTGAGAATGGGGATCAATGATCTCGGGTAAGACTAGCACGACTTATCTACTTGTATTCGGATGCAAGGTAAAGACCTCATGAGCTACAGATATGGAGATGTCTTAGCTAAAGTCGTGGGTGAATCTATAACGGTATAGCTCGCACTGAAGAGACCCACAAAAGAGACTCTATGAGGAAATCTCACAGAGAGTATCATTAGAGTAGTCTCTTTATATTTGGGTATGTCTTTCCTTAGACCAGAAGTTATTACCTAGACTGTGTTCTAGAAGGCATGCTTTGACTGTATGCCTCGTCTGCCTGAAACATGGAGACTCATAGGTATACTGTTGGGCTTGTCCTGAAAGAGCACATGGCTAGGGTGATAAGCTGAAGGAATTCGTCAGATCTCTGCGAGAGATTAGGTTATCTGTAAACCGGAGAAATCGGGATGACATTTACAGGGACTCGGGAATCTATGCATAGTAAAAGAGATCATGAGATGATCTGCCTTTAGAGTCAGTAAATTGAAGATTCCCTATTTCGAATAAAGCTTACCCTAAACCGCAAGGGTTGATACGTTTCCTTACCCTAGGTTTTATGGGAAGGTAACCGAGACGAAAGGAAATACATACGGCAACCAAATATGTGTAATAGGATGATTATGTCATTAACCTAACTAGCTCTGGGGCAACAAAGCATTGCTAGTGCTCTGTGTTGTCATTAGATGGGTTGTGGGCTTATTGGGCCCAAGCCTATTTATGTTAGTGGCTATGTTGGGCCTAATGGGTCACACACTAACACCTTATTGTCATGACAATATAGCATTAAATGTATTGGGCCTAATAATGGTTGTTAGCCCAAGAAGAAGTTTGGAAGCCCACCAAAAGGAAAAAAAAGGGCGCATGGTTAGTTAATGGGCTTGGATGGTCCAAGACATTACTAATTTAATTAAATTAATTATCAAATGTTTAAATTTTGAATTTTGAATTTGAAATTTGAAATTTGAATTTTGAAATTTGAATTTTGAATTTGAATTTGAATTTTGAAATTCGAATTTTGAATTTTGAATTTGAAATTTGAAATTTGAAATTTGAAATTTTGAATTTTGAATTTGAATTTTGAATTTGAAATTTGAATTTGGATTTGGAATTTGAATTTGAATTTAAAATTTAAATATTTGAACGCTTGAATTCGAATTTAAATTGGCTATGAAAAGTTGTTTCATAACAAAAGGATAAGATAAGATCTTGTTAGAACAAATCCCAAATATCAAGAGGAGATCTTTGAGAATCTTCTAGTGAGGATATGGGGCGCTGATTTAGGTATCTGATGATGGTCATAGGATCAACCAAATGAGCTCCAGTCAGATTTGGTTTGTTGAGAGAATAAGTGAGACAGTTGGTTCAAGTTTGAATGCAACTGCTCAACGTATCTGGACTGTTATGAGGCCAAGTGGGGCGCACCATATGGCTGGCCATATGATGGTTGTTGAGTCAGATTCTTGTTGAGATATTCACTTGATATCATGAGGATGTGAGAGGAGGTTGTTGACAAGATTTGAATTTTGCAACAACTCCACTCATCCCCCTAGTGTGCGCTATATATAGGGCCTTATTTGAGTGAAGAAAATTAATTTTTAATTAACTCATTCTCTCATCTCCTTGTGGGTTCCTTTTGTGAGGTTTTTCTTAAGAGAGTTTCGAAATAACCTAGCCTTTTTCAAAGAAAACCATGCGCCACTTTTGTGTCTATTCTTGCTGAATATTCACTCTTCTAAACACCTTGACCTAGCCTCCTCCTTCACACATTGGGCGCATAGCTTGCCTCCATTGGTTTTTTCGTTGGTGGCCTTGAAGAAGAGTTCTTCCGTCTTGACAAAGGGTGGTGTGGATCAACATTAGAGGGCTTGCATCTTCAAGCCTCATCTTGATCATCCTCCAGTTTTGGAAAGCAAACAAGGTAACATCCATGCCCTAAAGCATGTTTCTTGATATGGTATGTGTTATTCCGCTCGAAAAATTTTGTTTTTCCCTCTCACATGCCTCGACCTTCAAGGTCAGTTTCTTTCAAGTGGTATCAGAGTCCGGTTGCTTTACCATCGGCG